GTTTCATGTTTTATATGTTTCATATATTTCATGTTTCATATGTTTCACAGCCTCCGTCAGTTTTAGCTCTCACTCATTAACAGGAGACTTTAAGGCTGTTTGAAATCGTGGCGGCGGCAGCTAGCTGTAGCTGAGCCAGCATGTCATTTTAATTCAAAGATCGTTCACGTGACATTTTCAAGATTAAAGCTCAGCAGAGGTCCACCAGGTTCCTGTGTCGGCTCAGACTAGCCTTTAGCTCGGGGCCATTCAGCTGGCAGCCCGCGGGCCAGAATTAAATGACTTTAGCTGCTGGATGTCCGGCCCCGGAGCTCTTTAGCTGAATGGCCCTGCTTTAGCTAACCTTTTCACAGAACCCCACTTCAAAAGAGCCGGAGCATCCCATTAAGCCTTAAAAGTGCCCAAGTATTTTTTTACGGGTCCTTTGTTTTGTAATTTCACATGTATTTATATAAAGTTAATGTAAAAAGACACGTGTACATTTGTGTATAGAAGAAAAGTTTATAAAAAATGTAAAGTTGTACAAAGTGTAGATGGGGCTTTTTTTGAAAATCCAGCTTTTATTTTGACAATAAAACTTTGGAGAAACGTGCTGCAGTTGTTTTTCCTGTGTGGGCACCGGCCCCCGCGGTCACCGCTGTCCCCCCCCCCCCCCCTTTTTTTTTTTTTTAACCATCAGAGCTGTAATTAGAGGCAGGACTTGAGTCTCCAGGATTGTTAAAGTCCTCACAGGCCTGCCAAAGCCTGCTTCTTTAATTTAGTAAAAAGAAGGGGGGGGGGGGGGGTACATGCAGGGAACGGACCCTTTTCATCTGCAGAAACTTTGATGTTTCTTGGAATAAAGGTGCTGTGTGTGATGTGTCCAAGGTTCCTCCTAAATGTCCCCATTTGGACGCTTTGATGGACGTCCCATACAATTGAGAGCGGCAGCATTTTAGAACCCCTTTGCTTTTTTTGTGCGGTCGAGGGGGGGTGGGGGGGGTGTCGGAGCTGAAACTTGCCAGCTTCTGTGTTTTTACCTCTGAATTGAAACATCTTCAAGCTGTGTGTGTGTGTGTGTGTGGGGGGGGGGGGGGTGGACATGAGTGATACTGAAGCAGCAGTGAAAGGCCCACAGGTGGTCTGTTCACATGATCTCACATGGGGGGGGGGGGTGTCTTCATCCAGTCTAAAGTGTAGTTTTAGCTACAAGTGTATCCCCATGTGTTTGCCAGGGTTCCACGGAGGACGGTCCACTGTCCCTCGGAGAAGCTCACAAAACTGATTTCAGTCCAACTCAGCCAGCTGAAGCGGGCTCAGCACGCAGGTCCAAACAGGCCTTTCAGCTGCTGCAGGAGGAAGAACACCTCTGCTGGTCATTTAGCTTCAGGTCTGAGCCAAAACTCACACCTCAGCTGAACTTTAGCTGTTGTTGTCAAGGAGGCTGAACTTTAACAAAGCTGCGCCTCCATCTAGAGGTGGGAGCAGCTCTGCACGTCCAGAACCACGCGGGTACGAAACGACTCGGATGGAAAAGGCTTCATGTGATAAAACAACACAGCAGCAGTGTGAGCTGCTTAAAGGGCTAGTTCAGATGTTTTCAGGAGGAGTTCACTGAAGAGTTTACATTTTCTGTGTGAAGCTGAAACTTAGTTGTTAAAGTTAAAACAAGCAGAATTGAAGTCCAATTGATCCAAACATCAGCTAAAATGAACAGAGCAGTAGCTAAAAGCTAAATTAAGTTATTAATAGGTAAACACAAAAACCAACAAAACAGTAGCCAAATGCTAAAATCTGCAAAAAAGAACAGCAGCAGCTACTGAAGGAGATGGTAAAAAAGAAGTTAAAAGTAGCATAACAGTAGCTAAAAGCGGCAGAATGATAGCTAAAAGTAGCACATGAAGATAAAGGAAAACATTTTGAAGAAAAAGATCAGAATGTATTTATGGGAAATTCTTAATAAATAATTATTTTTGTCATGTTGAACATTTTGATATGAAGTAATGAGAGCACAAAGTACGAGGGAAAAGTAAAAAAAATAAAATTATATATATATATATATATATATATATATATATATATATATATATATACTTTGTAGATGTTGGCACCTCCACAT